TTTTTTATGCTTACATAAATAGTAACTGAGCCAATAAGACTGTCTGTTCAAATTATTGGCAGTAGTGAAGCTGAAATCAAGTATCACGCTTTAGCAGGCAATAAATAGCATCCTTTACTAGATGATTGAGGAACATACAATCAAGTCTGTCTAAATCTGGGTAGGGGTTGTTTGTGACAGTATAGCTAGCTCTGACATTTTATATGCAGCTGTCACATGAAATATTTAATACTGCTTGCTCCTGTCTAAAACGTTCTAAAACAGAGTTACTTCTCATTTTGTTGTGTGGACAACTTATTCACACTGAGATAAAGGAGGAAATTTTAAAAATGCATCCATCAGAAAACCTGGCTAAGCTCTGCATTCAGGAGTGCAAAACCAATGAATCTCCCTTCATTATGGGACAGTAAGGTGTAATTTCCTTACATACTTTGCAAAGGTTATTAGGCAAGCTGCAGGCATTTTAGCACGCAGTTAAAGAAAAAACGCAAACCAAATACAACTGTTTCTATTTTCCATTAAATAGAAGAGAGGAATGCATGTTCCAGGAACTCACTGTTGGTGTTAGGTACTCTGTAATAAATGATGACTTAATTTTTTTTCATATGTATTATGAGTGTTTATGGTTATGTTACTGAGAAGGCTTTTATGAGAATTCTAGGTATTTGATACATGTGAATTCTAACACCATAGAAAAACTTGCATATCTGACTTGGGAAAAACTGAGTAGAAAATGTATTACAAAATAATTACATTTTGATACTGTGACTAGCCCTGACACTGACCTACTTGGTTAGTCAAATGTGGTGAATATTTGACAGAAAGAGCATTTCACAAGGTTATGTAAGTTAAATGCTGTAGTAATATTTCTTAATATCTTCAAAGTTGCTGTTGAATGCAGGGGTTTATACTTTATTCAGATTGTTTGAAGGAAAATATTAGCCCAAAGCAAATTATAGAAATTTTATTAATAAAGCTAATCTTTAAACTTTTGTCACCTGTTTGTGCTCAAGTGCATAATTAGGTATTTACAGTTTAAGTGTTAATTTGGTTTATAAATGCATCAGGTGTCACAATAACAAATGACTTTTGTACTGGTGTCTCTGTTTTCTGTTTATATTAATATACTTATGCTGAAATTCCATGGCAGCTCAGAGTCTGAGAACTATTGAAGAAGACTTCAAGTTTTATAAAAAATAAGTCTTTTACTTGGATATTAGCTAAAGATGGCATTAAGCAATCTTAGATTGATGTTGACAGGCCTGCTCTATTCCTTGGCTACTTAATTCTGCAGGACACTAGCTCCTGTTGCAGTTAACACTTATTCTGCTGTGTGTTGGAGGAAGGGAAGTCTAGCCACATCAGCAGCAATGCTGGGGAGGAGGTGGGACAACTTTTGGCAGCCAGTCTTAAATTGGCTTGAGCCTGTCATGAAGCTACATATTTGGTTTAATAGGAGAAATATCCCAAAGGCATCGCTATACAGTAGTCAAAGTGTAGAAATATACTGTTAGACTAGCGTCAAATAATATTTTAAGTTGGAAGAAACCTCTAGAGGTCATCTAGCTCAACCCTTGGCTCAAAGCCAGGCTAACATCAAAATAGAGAAGGTTGCTCAGAGCCTTGTCCAGTTGAATCTTGAAGATTTCCAAGGCTGCGTTTCTACTTCCTCTATGTGCAATTAGTTCCAGTGCTTAACCTATTCCATGGGGATAGGTTCCCTTCCGCCCTTTATATCTCTCTGAAACTGTCTGTACTGCAGCTTCTTGATTGCCTCACATCTTTTTGTTGTGTACCTCTGAGAAGTTTGCTTCTGTCTTCAGCTGTATTTAGGTGGGTTTTATGGAGAGGATAGCAATTAGACACACACCCCACCTCACTGCCACCCCCACCCCTGCAACCCTCCTGCCCCTGCGCACTGGTAGTCTTTCCAGGATTAAAAAGCCCAATTCTGTGTAGTTTTTCTTTGTATGCCATGTGCACCAGCCCCCTAATCAACTAAGTGACCCTTTTTTTTTTTGTCTCATTTATCAGTATCTCAGTTATTGGGTGCTGAGGGTGGAAACAGAATGCAGTACTTGGAGACAGCATCATGAATGCTGACTGCTGGGGAATAGCAGGTTCTTTTGACCTGTTTACTGCAGTTTTGCCAGTGCAGCCATGGTAGCTGTTGGCCGGGGTCAACCCAAACACTCACACAGCTGCTTGATCACTCTCCTCTCCCTCGGGATAAAGAGGAAAATAGAAGGAAGGTGAGAAGACTTGTGGATCAAGATAATGACATGTTAATAGGGAAAGCAAAAGGTTGCACACACAAGCAAAGCAAAAAGAAGAATTAATTCCCTGCTTTCCATTGGGAGGCAGATGTTTGGCCACTTCCTGGAAGGCAGGGCCTCAGCATACATAATCATTGTGTGGGAAGAATCACAGAATCATTTAGGTTGGAAAAGGCCCTTAAGATCATTGAGTACAACTGTTAACCTAACACTGCCAAGTCCACCATCAAACCATGTCCCTAAGTGCCACATCTACACATCTTTTAAATACCTCCAGGGATGATAACTCAACCAATTCCCCGGCAGCCTGTTCCAATGCTTGACAACACTTTTCAGTCAACAATTTTTTCCTTGTATCCAATTTAAACCTCCCCTGGTGCAACTTGAGGATGTTTCCTCTTGTCCTATTGCTTGTTACCTGGGAGAAGAGACTGGCACCCACCTTGCTACAACCTCTTTTCAGGTATTTGTAGACAGTGATAAGGTCTCCCCTCAGCCTCCTTTTCTCCAGGTAAACAAACCCAGTTCCCTCAGCTGCTCCTCATAAAACTTGTTCTTTAGGCCCTTCACCATAACCATCCTTCCCAAGATTATGACAAACAAAGGTTAAGACAAGCAACTTAACCACAAATGTCCACCTTTCCTTCTTCCTTCCATGAGCTTTTACTGCTGAACATGGCATCATGTGGTATGGAATGTCCCTTTGGTCAACTTGGGTCAGTTGTCCTGGCTATGTCCCTTCTCAGTGTCTTGCCCACCCCCAGCCTACTTGCTAGGGGTGGGGTCAGGGTGGAAAAGAGAAAAAGCCTTGATGCTGTGCATGCACTTTTCAGCACTAGCAGAAATGCTAGCGTGTTATCAACACTGGTTTAGCCACAAATCCAAAGCACAGCACCATATGGGCTGCAGTGAAGAAAGTTATTTCCATCCCAGCCAGACCCAGTGCAGCAGCCTGGTATGTGGTTGACCTTCATTGCCACAGAGGCCTGCTACTGACTCTTCAGGTTGTTGATTCCCACAGTTGCTTTCTGCAAGGTTGTTCCCGAACCCATTAGTCCCAAGTCTCTGTTGTTGCATGGGTTATTCTGTGCTGCTTGCAGGGCTTCACACTTGTCTCTGTTCACTGTCATGAGATTCCTGTCAGCTCAGTCCTCTGGCTTGTTGAGGACCCTCTGAATAGCATCGTGACCACTTCCTGGCCTGCTAGGCTGATGTCGTCTGCAGATGTGATGTGGGTGCATTCCATCCTGGCTTTCAGGTCATTGATGAAGATGTTAAACTGTATTAGCCCAGTATCATCTGCTGAAGATTGCCTCTTCTAACTGGCTTCCAGTTAGATTTTAAACTGTTGACCACAAGCCTTTAAGTCTGGCTGTCTAGGCAGATTTTCAGACATACTGAGGTTGATATTTATCCAGTTTGGTACAAGGATGCTATGGGAGGTGGCATTGGAAGTCTTATTAAAGTCAAAGTAAATGACATCCATTGGTGTCCTTCAAGCCCAAAACCAGCTGTTTCCTCATGAAAAGTTATCAATTTAGGCACAGTTTGCACTTTGTAAATCTGTGATGGCAATTCCCAGTCACCTTCTTTTCATTCATGTGCCTGGAAATGACTTCTAGAAGTATTTGCTATATAGTTAGTCTGAGGATCAGGGTGAGGCTGACTGTCTCATAATGCCTCAGATCCCCCTTCTTGCCCTTTTTTGAAGATGAATAAATACAGTCTTTATCAGTGGCTTCCTGTGGTCACAGTGACCTCTAAAGAAGAGAGTTTTCTTTGGTTGTATTGGAATTGGACAATTGGTGATCTGTTTGCATTAGAAACACCTGCAGACTGTGTGAAGGTTATATTCACTTCTGCAAAACCATATTGAGAAAGAGGAATTGTAAGAGCGATAATTCAGCGCAAGTCAGAGACAAACTGGGAGCATGCTGTTTAAAGGGATTAGGTCACAACTCTAAGAGTTCCATAATTTTTTCAGAGAAATAAGCAGACTAAAGAAAGTGGAGGTAAAGTAAATTAAGGTTGTTGAGACAGCAAAAACTGTAATTTTTTTTTTTTTCCCCTGTCTTGCTGACAGACATATGAATTGTTTTTGTAAGCTTTGTATTTTAATGTTGTGTGGGTTTTGTTTTTGTTTTTGTTTTTTTTTTTTAATTTGTTGAGCACTGAGAATGGTGTCAGCATGTCTGGCAAACTTCATGCAATCCAACAAGTAGTCTGACTATGTTAGTGTTAGTTTATTCTTGCAAGGGGCAACAAATTGTTACAAGGGCTAGAACCTTGAAGAGTTTGAAGATGTTCATTTGCAACACTGAAGACCATTAATACGGTGTGAAGAACTTATAAAGGAGGTTTTAGGTTAGATGTTGATTAAAAGGCAGTTAGAGGAATTGAACTTAAGACCCCTTTGAAGTTGAACAACTGATCATCTGTTTGCATTAGAAACACCAGCAGACTGTGTAAAGATTATGCTCACTTCTGTAAAAAGAAAAGCAAAGACTTTTTAGAGCTGAATGATTTGTTCTTAAAATGTCTTGATTTTGAAAATTCCAGCTCAAGACACTTGCATTTTGATACTAAAAATCAGTTTGTAACAAATGTACTTTTAACTATTGAAGGTTTTTATATTGGTTAGGTATTTGAAGTGTAGAAACTAAATGTAGTTTCAAAGATTAATAAAAGTCTACTCTAATGAATATTCACACATTTATTTTTCAGGAGCTGGTGAATCAGGGAAAAGCACAATTGTCAAACAAATGAAGTAAGTATGGTCTAATACTACGATAGAGAAATTATTGTGTTTCTTTGAATACTGAATTTTTTTTTTTCCTTCTGTAGGATTATCCATGAAGCTGGTTATTCAGAAGAAGAATGTAAACAGTACAAAGCTGTTGTCTACAGTAACACCATTCAGTCCATTATTGCTATCATTAGAGCAATGGGGAGGTTGAAGATAGACTTTGGTGATCCAACCAGGGCTGTGAGTATTGAAGTACACACACAGATATACAGCTGAAATATCCATTCATTTTCAATTTTTGTCTGTTATTATTTCCTGAAAAAACCCTCTTGATATCCAAAAATCTTTGTAGCATAAAAAGGTTGATTGAAAACTAAACAGCACTGGTTGTTGCATGGCAAAGTGACCTACAGAGCAATCAGCGCTGGGTTGATTCATAACAACTATTTGACTTAGATACAATTCTCCAAATTCTATCTAAATTTGGAGTGCCAAACATCTGAGTCTTAGGGAGTTTTTGAAAAGCATTAAACTATGCAGTCATGTCTTTTTATTTGTATGGACTTGTGGGCTGTTATGTTCTATAAGTCATTTAAGTTAGACATCTTTGTGTTCCTTAAAAAACACAGCTTAAATAGGTAGGCATCTAGCTACTGTCTGCACTTCTCTATTAGGTCATAGGCACAGTGGTGCCTAAAACACTTCCAGCCTCTGAGCTTGATCCTATTTCATACTGATTTCCAGTGTGGAGGACTTTATTTTACTCAGAGACATGCCATAGCCCTGTTGCTGGTATCCCATTTTTTCATGATACCACATGGATTAAGGATTTTTCCCAAGAAATAGGAGACCTTTTTCTAGGCTTTTCCACACCTTTTCCATCTCATTTCATCTAATGTCTCGCATACAAACCCCTGATGGGTCTATTTGCCATTCCACCTATTGAAGCTGGTCTGCAGAATTGATTCTTTTGGCTTATTGTTTCTCCAGTCCTAACCCTATACTCTTACCTGTGATGACCCTGATTACATCCGTATCTGGTCAGGAGGTTAGATGCCCTGAATCTCTCCATGCTTAGCTTAAGTGTTTTTGCTTTGTTTTCAGTTGCAGTGATGAAATTGATCACCGAAGTTGTTAGTCTGAATAGGATCGAAACTTAGTTCGGGATGTGTGCTTTTATTTTCTTTCCATAGAAATCAATGTCAGAATATGGAATGCTCATGAGTACAGTTTCTGAAGCAGGAACTAGCCACATTATGTCTGTCTTACAGGAAGGATGGAGGAAATTTTTTTGCTGTTCATGTATTGAAATAAGTTTGTAAGGTAGTCAGGGGGATATTTTGTTATGGTTAAGTTCTTTCTGTCATGTTAAGGTTGAATTACAGTTTGGCAGGAGAGGAGGGTCTTGAAAAATAAGAAACGGTATGTAAATTCTTCATTCATGACAGTCTTGTGTTTAAGATCTTACTGATTGCTTAAAAAGCAATTTATAAATATTAGTATACCTTCATTGACTTTGTGAAATGCATTATGTATGATTGTCATAAGGAAGACAAACATTCATAAGATCATGTAAAGTGGGTCATAAAGTTGTATCTGAAGTCTAAATCTGACTGGCAGTTGTGAATTATTAGCTGATTTTCATTTTGCTCTTTGATAATTGTTATTTTATGTACCTATGTTAATTCTACCTGAACCTCTTCAATTGTAAACATAACTAGTAAAAGCTTTGTTTTCATTGATTATTCCTCTCTACATTTGTTCTTATGTTTGCTGTTGTCTTCCCTTAAGACCAAAGTTTTCCAGGGCAGCAACAGTATCTTACCGCATGTTAGTTCAGTATTTGTGCAGTGGAGTCCTCTCTGGAGTCTGGCAGTTAAAGTTGGAAAGAGGCAGATGGTAGACTCATGTTACTACATACATAGTAAGAGAAAACGGAGGAGGAGTAAATTTAGGTGTTAGCAGATAAAATGACTAACAAGATGATTTTGAGGGCTGTTTTACATATGATATCAATTTGAAGTCATCTGAGTTGCTTGACTTCCGAGAGCTATATAAATGATGAGGCAAACTTTTGTCAGGGATAATCTTAATACAGTTGTCCATCCCTTTGCACTTAGGCAGGTCTTGGTGGTCCAGATTCTTTTTTTCAGAGCAACATTGCTATGGAATGTCAGTACTAGATTTTTGCCAATTGTGAAGTCAGAAATGAAGAAAGGAATTCAGAGCTTGTGTTATACATGAGTCTCACTTAAAAAAAAAAAAGTGTGGTTGCTCCTTGCTTATTACAGTATAGCTTTTTAAATTTTATTCTATTTCATTGTAATTTTGTCATTTTTCAGAAAAAGCTCAAAATTGTAACTCCTGATGAAAACTGTTGCATTCAGACTCTTTTCCTTAAATTTCTGAGGGGAATTTCTGAGGGTTTTACTCTAAATGGGATAAGTTTGTTTGGAAAATCATATACTCTTATTTCTGTCATAAGACTAATGGTAAAGCAGTGAGTTGAATGTTTTCTTTTTTAAAGCTCTTGAATCAAGGGAGCACAGATTATGCCAGCAGCCTCAGTAATGGTCAGTCTCAAGACTGGTGTATCTTCCTTTGTCCTACAGGATGTTTCAGTACTAAAGTAGAAACTGTGTTTCGAGAGACATTTAGTGAATGTGCTTTAAAGGACTATGGACCACTTTCTGAATGTGAGATTTACTGTAATTAGCTAGAGAGATGGTTAAATTAGTTTCTTTACATTATCTCATTTATGAAATCTGGTATAAAAATAGTGACACCTAGAGAGGAAGCTGCCCCATTCCAGTATAAGTAAAGGAAAGTATCTAGCATTGGTTAATAATGAAAATAGGACTTGATCATTGCATACTACCTCACTTGGGGTGTCTGTAGTACTTGCTATCCTTAGAAGAGGAAGTATAGAGGAAACAGAGACCACTTTTTATTTTAACATTTAGGCTTTTAAAAAGCTGAAATTGATTCTCTTGTTCCACCTCCCTTTCCCCCTCATTTTAGACCATGTAGAGATTAGAGCTGTTTGAAACAGAGTAAATTTTGTATGTTTGAAAGTCAGAATATGTTAGGTATAAAATGGTGTAATCATTCATGACAGAATTGACGGTTAGTTTCTAAGCTGTTTACACCATGTGTCTTGGCTGCTCTTCAAGATCTGCTTTTATGAGTTGTAGGTCCTTGGCATTTGCATACACAAACAATATTCAAGACCAGAATTGTCATTCAGATTTCTTTTATGCAGACATATAGCTTAAACTACAGTCTGTGAGATCTGACTATTCAACCCTTTGATCTTTACTGCTCTGGGTTTTTTATGTAATTATTAGTGCAATCCATTGAATTTTTTAGTTGTCCACACTTTGTCCTGTGCATGTATAGTAGTCAGCATTCTGTTAATTTGTTTGATAAATGTTCATTTTTAGATTTGTCACTACTCTAGCTTACAAAAGTCTTTTTGAACTACATATCGGATACCTGTTGTTCACATGTATAACTACATATGTATACATATAGATATATATAAATCTCTTCAAGCTTGCCTTGAGTTGACTGAACTTGCACGCTTTTTGTTTTCAAGCTGTGAATATCAGTATTACTCAATCCATCTGTAAACAATTTTTCTGTTAGCTGTCATAATCTTTGATTATTTAAGTCTACAGAGGACAATATCTTTAGAACAATCACTACTTTCTGTGCTTATCCTGACCTTGGGTTTTTTTCACAGCTTATTGTTTGAACAGCAAAGATGACAGATCTGGTTTTTTCTACAGATTTGCATCTGTATCTTCACTTACTGTTTTGTGAGAATAACTTTATATGTTGCTTTTTTTTAATCCTTCTCTCTCTTGAAATACTTTCAGTTCCCAGCTGATATGCCTAAGTCTCTCTTTTCTCCTTCCTCCTGTCCAGTATCATCTGTTCTCTTTCTTTTAATTATTGGACAAACAGTACACACTGTGGGTAGTAGTTACAAGCCACAAGTATGCTGATTTTTCTCACTGACATATCATGGCATTAGATCACATATAGCTAATAACCAAGGTCAAGCAGCTACCCACAGGAGAGTACTAATGTGGATCTCTTTCCTCTACCCAGCTGCTATCTGCTTTTTCCAATGCCTTACAGGTCTAACATTTTTAGGTTTCTTTCCTCAGTCAAAATTGGATGAAGGTAGCCAGCTGGTCAAATTCTGTTAAAGGAGACTGGTGGACCAACATCCTGTACTCCATTAGGCTGACTCTCAAAGGCAGTCATTATATATAGTCTTAAAATCTAGCATTTTCTCTCTTAAAAATCTTAATGTTTGCTTGATATCACGTTACCAAGAAAACTTGGTCTCTGTAGAATAATTAAGGTAATGGATATTTGTAACTGATTTATCTGGAAAGTATTTTTCTATTTCCTGATGCATGATTTGGGAAGAAATGATCATTTGTCACTTTCAAACAAAAATGCTTTTTGAAGCTTAAGTGATTAATGTGTTTTTCTTCAGTCAATCAATATACATCTGCATTTCTGAAGGTTCTAGTATGCATTGTAACCATTCTATTCAGTTTGTGGGTTTTGATAACCAAATAAGGTTAACTTGAGACTTGAGTACAAAATATGTTACTGCTTCTGTTTAGAAGCTTAGTTCAAGTTATAAACAGACCAGAAGAAGTTTCATCAGCTAATGAGAAATTTCGTTTACTGGTCGTCTTCTGTTATTGAAAAATGTGGGAATTAATATCTTGTGCAGAACACTAAACCCAATTGTTTTTCTTCACATTTTTCTGTTTGGTTACATTTGTGTTTACCAGGTTAAGAAAGTAACTTATGTGCTGAATATAGTTCTTAGGTGCTAATTCCTCTGTTGTATTTCTCAATATTTGTGTCTCCACTTTCTGTTTACATCCTAAAGGATGATGCTCGTCAACTCTTTGTGTTAGCTGGAGCAGCAGAAGAAGGATTTATGACTGCAGAGCTTGCTGGAGTTATCAAGAGACTGTGGAAAGACAGTGGAGTTCAAGCTTGTTTCAACAGATCTAGAGAATACCAGCTTAATGACTCTGCTGCCTAGTAAGTACTGTGTGACAAACAAGATTGTCTTGTAAGTAGTAGCTAAAAGAATATAAGGGAAGTCTCATCTTTTGAGGAATTCTGCTCCTATGCAGATGGAAAATTTAGAAGTATCTGGAAAAAGATATTGTCTCCTTGGGTCAAAATGCTCCAGCTCTAGGCTTCAAGGTTGGAAAGGAAGAGGTGTGGTATAATTATGAATTGGAGTCATGTTCTGACCAGTTGTTTCTTCCTCTTGAGGAAGACAAAAATGCTTTAAGGTGCTTTAATAGCATTTTTATTAAAAAAACATGACTCAAGTATCTGTTCAGTATCTGAACATGTCTAGGAAACTTGATTACGTGATGTGGATCTGTATTACTAAGGATACTACTTTCATGTTCATAATAGAGTTTCTCTTATGATTCAGCATTGCTGTATTTTCTTTCTTAATTAACGGTCTCTCTTAGAAATGTGTTGAGCAAAGGTAACAATCAGGATGTGCCTTCTATGCTAGGGTACTTCATTAAAAAAATAAAATAGTAAGGAATCAAGGGTGTGAGAAATAAGATGTGATGGCAGGAAGTAATGGAAGTCAGTCACAGGAAAGAGTCCATTGTGGGAGAGGTAATGTGGTAAAGAATGGCATAGCAGTGATACTGGCCTTATAGGGCAATATTTTAAAGCTCTGTCATTCTGAATTAATTGGTAGCGTTTGAAGGTGTTTTTCACTTTCATTAAAATAAGGTACTTCTTCAGAGTAACTGTACACAAATAAACAACATGCGGGTAAGGTAACTGTGAGAAGACAACAGCTGGAGTAATGTAATTATAGGCATGCTGAATGAATAGAAATGTGATGAAATTGTATCAAAAGAACACTGATACTTCCAGCATGATTGTTACATATTTGCTGAAGTTGTTCTAAGGGTACTGAGAGTAGATGGCAACAAGTTGAGCTCAGGGTGACAGATCTCTTGACTTGAGAGACAGCACTTGTATAAACTTTCTTCAAAATGGACACTTAATTTGAAGGATCACTTGCTTTCCTCTGGTAGCCTCCTCTGTTCTATTTTGTTCTTTTAGATACCTCTGCTCCAGTTTCATAAGAAAACTGTTCTTCTAGCCATACAATTGTATCCTTAAAATTGCTTGCTTCTGGTTACACTAAAAAAAGAACATAATGCCTTCCCTATTTACTATGGGAAAAGCACAAATAAGATTTGTATGGTTTTTAGAAATATTGGGCTCCTTGGCCTGCATTGCAAGAATTCTGGCAATGAAATTATACTATTGTAAAATATGTGTGCAATTAGAAATCTCAATATAAAGTTAATTGTTATGTATCAAGCATTTTCTTAAACTCATTAATTCTGACCAAAACACTGAGTTGTTCTTTTCATACCTATTATCAAATCCAGGGTAATTTGGGGCTTTGGTTATAGTTCAAAGTAACTTGTAGTTCAGTAGGTTACGAAGATGAAGGTGTTCTTCTAGTTAGTGCTAATAACATTGGTGTACGTGGAACCATGTTTGCATTTGGGGATTTCAAAAGAAGAATTCTTTGTAGTGGAGTCAATTGCATAAGTTTTCTTTCTTCTAGGATGAAATATCTTTGTGTCTCTATAAAGCTTATTTCAAAAAAACTTGGAAAATTGAGGGGAATAATGTGTCTTGCTTTTTGTCTTCTCAGAGAAAGCTATTTTATAAAATAAGTCAAGCACAATATAAAGAATAGACCTAGAACTTCTTTTGTAAATTTTTGTCATTGTCTTGCTACTGTTTTATGAATAACTGAAAGCAGTATTTATTTTTACCTTCAGTTACTTGAATGACTTGGACAGGATAGCACAAACCAGCTACATTCCAACGCAACAGGATGTTCTCAGGACTAGAGTGAAAACTACAGGAATAGTGGAAACTCACTTTACTTTCAAAGATCTTCATTTTAAGTATGTAAATCATGCTGTGTGTGCATCTCTCTGTTATGGTTTCTGTAAAGTTCTAGAAGATGAACTTTCAATGATGTAATTTAACAAATTTGTCTAATGACAACTTTGATTTGCCCCTCCCCTCCCCCCTTTTTCATGAAAAAAATTTCTCATGCTTGGCTTAGTTTTCTGAAGGGATGTGGGAGTTGTTGGAACTCCTGTAATAACTCAGAATAAATATGCAGATATTAAGTAATAAATGCTTTGGGTTTATTGGAAGCTTTTTGTAAAGATATTTTATATGTAAGTTAAATCTCAAAATATTCCATTTTCTGCCATGTTAAATAGCTGTTCTTCTATCAGATTCTTCCCTTTAAATTTAGTTGGAGAGCTGGAGGCTTATAAATGTTTGCTGGTGTTGTATGAAAGAGTAAATCAATTTTCATGAAGAACTGAATTCAAGTATGTGTCGTACTTTAAGGTACGACATTTATTCACGCTTTATTTAGTGATGAAAGAATGTGACTTGTAAATCCTGCACCACAGGAAATGTGAGATAATGTTAATACGCTGAACATTATATGTCCGAAGACATTCATGATAAAAGCATAGGATAGTATAAATGTAATAATATTGTACCTCCTACTGATCAGGAAGAATGAGAAGAAAGCTCGGTAAAATTCACATTGCATCTGCATTTAGATTGTGCAGAGATTGTTTTCAGCATGTCTATACAATATACTTGTTTAGTATCTTCATGGAAAATATTTTTTTTTCATATAAATGCATAGCAAGTACTTGTAATATGGATCCTTCAGGGCCATCTGTACTGTGGAAATATATTTCGTTTCCTTGTTTTAGGATTTAAGTATACAAAATTCGTATTCATCCATAAAATAATAGCTGGTAAATGGGAATGAATCTCTTGCAAACCTAAGGAGAATAGTCCTTAGCCAAGCCTCCAGAGAGGTCTTCAGTATTCTGAGGAGCTATCCATTTTCTCACTCCCTTTCTAATGTTTCTTGTTCAGTTCCCTATTGTAGATGGGTTTAAATTCTTCTACACTCTCAATGAATTTGTATGCAGGTAGCTACTTCCAGTCTGTACTGATTAATAGGGCTGTTACAAGGACCATATGATTACACTTCTGTAAAATGTGTAACTTTGACAGGCCTTTGGAAGTGTTTAGCTCTAATGTTGTATATTTAAACACCTGTAGAACAGGTGTTTAATTTTTAGGTTCCTTAGGAGATAGGCTTAATGAGTTATTGGAAGGGCTTGAAGAAGTACATTCTTACATAACATTGAAAAGAACTTTTATGGTGAACTAAAGGCATAAAAGGCTTGATTATACCAAGATGAGGCTACATAAACATGACTAGCTGTGCAATATTGGGTACTTCAATTTTTTTTCATTATCTTTCCTGTTTTGCAGTGTGTTTAGATTCTTTGAGGTTGAGCCTCATTTCAGCCTTCTCTATAAAGTGCTTAGCATAGCTTTGATTATTGATTCAATCTAAAATGCAAATAGCAAGTCCTCTTCATCTTGTTTCTATAGAGTGTTTCAGAAGTTGAGTCTCTGATGATTTACTACTTTTGTCTTCAAAGAACACCTTATTTTGTAGAAATGTTCTGATAATTTAACAAATTCTTATGGAAATTCAGGTCTTAGTACAAAATTATAAAACAAAAAATTAAAAAAAAATTATAGAATTGACAGAAGTAACGACTAAAATTTAAGGTATTAAGGTATACAAGTACAAAATATCTTCCTATGGGTACAGCCATCACTAATTATTTGAGAACTAAGAAGGAGTAGGTAACTGACTTGCATTTATATAGGGTGATATCCTGAAGGTAAAGAACATTTTTAAAGAATCCTTTTTTCATTTTTAAATTCTAACAGGAGTAATCTTTAAAATGTTTTTAAGATGGTATTATTCCATTGTACAACATTAAATGGGCAACGACCATTGTCACTTGCACAATAGTATACCCAAGTAGAAGACCTCTTCAGAGATTATGATGTTTCTGACAGTTTTTGATCAGAAAGTGAAGGGTCTTTGTTTTTCTTCTAATTTGTTCTCTTCTCTACTTATTTTTACTGTGGTTTTTTTTAATAAGAATGTAGTAACTCAGGTCACTTGAAGATTTCTAAATATAACTGTAATTGAATCCCTTCAAGTGCAGTCTACCTAGTCATAGAGTACACTAACATTAAATCGGTAGGTTTTTTTAATCTACCTGCCCTTCTGCAATCTTACAGCCCAGAGAAAACAGGAAAGGGGGATAATAAAAAATCCAGGTCCGTTTTAATAAGTATGTAATATGTGAGACTTCCCATATATGTATCATACTTTTGTAAGCACCCTGCCAAAAAAAAATATTTGTCAAATTCAGAGTCTTTCGCAAGGCTGGGGACTGAAATGAACAACTTGTGTAACCTTAAAAAAGAAGTGAAAGCAATCATAATAAATATCTGGTGTCCTTTTGGCCCATATCACATTTTGTATGGGTACTGGAATAGTGTTCTTTGTTTAAATAGTCTGAAAGAAGCAGAACATAGCACATCTGGCAACACTAGCTTTCAGAAACATATTGTGCTAATGAAAGGACCCTGCATAAGTCCTTAAATTTGCACAATTGCAGATAAACTATTCAGAAAGCTACCCATTTAATATATCTAAGTAACACAGCTTAGAGTGGTGACTGGAGAATTGTCTTTAATGCTTTACTTTTAGTTCAATGAAGTAAGTTGTCTTAATGTGGCATAGTCACCTTGTAATCTCATTGGAGAAGTCTGTTTTCTTAAAATAATGGAAAGTCATTAAAGCATTTCTCTAATTCCTTCATTCTTTAGATAAGGGGGGTAGATTCAGCTGTTACAAACTTCAATTCTTTCAGCATTGCCTTGTATTTCTTTTTAGTTCGTTGTAGACTCTGACTTACCTTTCATAAACAAAATATGGTTCTTTTGAGTAGACAAACCATGGATGGTGCTATGAATATTAGCACCTGAGGCAAATGCTTAAAAGATAGGCTTGCACACAACCCTGTGTGCACACCCTCTGTGATGGTTTAACCCCAGCCAGCAACTAAGCACCACGCAGCCATTCACTCACTTCCCCCCTCCCGCCCAGTGGGATGGGGGAGAGAATCGGAAGGAAGAAGGTAAAACGGGTTGAGATAAGAACAGTTTAATAGAACAGAAAGGAAGAAACTAGTAATGATAATAATAACAATAATAAAATGACAATAATAATAACAAAAGGATTGAATATACAAAACAAGTGATGCACAATGCAGTTGCTCACCACTCACTGACCGATGCCCAGCTAGTTCCAGAGCAGTTTCCCCCCACCCCAGGCCAATTCCCCCCAGTTTACATACTGGGCATGACGTCACATGGTACGGAATACCCCTTTGGCCAGTTCGGGTGAGCTGCCCCGGCTGTGTCCCCTCCCAACTTCTGGTGCCCCTCCAGCCTTCTTGCTGGCTGGGCATGAGAAGGTGAAAAAATTCTTGACTTAGTATAAACACTACTTAGCAACAACTGAAAACACCAGTGTGTTATCAGCATTCTTCTCATACTAAATCCAAGACATAACACTATACCAGCCACTAGAGAGAAAACTAACTCTATCCCAGCCAAAACCAGGTTACTCTCCCATATTGGAAGGTTGAATCTGTAAATCATTGTTATAAAACTTTTTAAAATTTATCTGCAGATTAAGCAGCTTCTGTGAGTGTTTCAGTCTTTTGGGACTGTGACCTAACAGGTCTCAGTATGACTTCTAACAGGGCAGATGGAAAGCTTGTGAACTTTAAGACCACTTTGTTCAGAATGGCTGATTTTTCTTAAAGATACTTGCAGCCTTATCTTTTTTTAAGAATTTTGTGTGCCAAATAATTGTTTGTTTGTTTTTTCTGTATGCCTGTATTTCTCTGTACAGATACCGTATGGAGAAGAAGCTTCATTACATAAAACAATCCATTAAGTTCTTATTACTTGCTGTTGAGGTGTTCACTGTGAAACTGTGATGCCAAAACTTCATCCAGTACTAGATTTTAGTATATAAAAATTTCAAAGATGAGTGCAAAAAGATGGTTTGCATAAAGAACTGGGAGTTTAGGTGCACAGTTAGAAAGACAACCCCCAAAAGAGACAAGCATCATTGGTGAAATACACCACTGGCAGAGAGGCTATTCTGAACTGAAGCAAACATTTCTGGCTAAAATCAGTATCTGCGAGTACAGACTGGAAATTACATTTCTTCTATGTTCTAGAAGTTGTCTGTCTTCTGCATTTTCCCTCCCTTCCCAGGATACATGCTATCAACATAGTGTGAACAAGCCAAAACTATACAATGCCTCTTGTGCAGACCTATTTTCTTTACATATTTTTGCTATTCTTTGAAAGAATACTTTTTACTACAGTTTTTTATTAATACAGGAAGTTGTGCCATGTTTTCTAGTACCTCTCAGTTACCATCTTAGTAATAATATTTTTGCATTGAGCAGTGTCATAAGATATTATTGAACTAGGTGAGACCCATGCAGATTGATATTACAGTACTGCCATCAGTATAAAGCATTTAATTTCTCACGTTCCTTAGAAGCTGGTGTCCACAAAAAAATAGAAGGAGCAATTTTGTTGTTAAGTTTCTGAGTTAATTTCTGTCTTTTATTCTGTTCTGGTCTATAAAGAATGAGATTTGTTGTTGTTCAACCCTATATGCCCTACTGTCTATCAAAAGCCCTCAGTGTGATAGCCTTATTACTAATATAATTCTTAATTATTTTAGGCCATGCTGGAATACCTTTACAAGAATTTTAACTATGCGTCTTAACAATTGTTGTTCCAGTCTGGATTTCTCTTCCGTTTTTTGTGACATTTTTACCCAAATAAGGCTTTCATGGTAGAGCTGGCCATTCTACTACTTAGAGCAAAGAGGATGGTGATGTAAGAACTGGGCTGTCCTCTGTTCTTTCTCTTCTCTCTTTCTCCTTCCATTTGAACATTTATATATCTACAGAATTCTAAGCTCTTTTTTTTGTGACAATATAGAAAAATTTAAAATTATTTGTGAAAACCCCTGAAGACAAGTCAGGCCTCTTTTAAAAGGAATAATTGCATTTGCTTGTAAGTAGGAGGAAAAACTAAATTTGTGCATGATAGAATATTGACTAACATAGTAAGGAAAGTAATATGTGACACGTGCATTGTTTTGAAGCCATAAGTCATGGCAAAAATTTGAGAAAACAGTATTCTTTTTCTGTGATAGGAAAGAGACAGGTGGAAAAAAAGTCTGTGTTTTCTCTGAGAAGATCCTATGATGTATCTGTCACTTAATTTCAGGATACCACTCTGTCTGGGGTGGTTTTGTTTTTGTTTTTTTTGTGTTGGTCCTGTCCCCCCACACCATGATTTACTGTTCATTTTATCGGGATGCTATTTATTTGGCTTGCAAAATACTTGAAGTTCCTAATGAAGTCTAATGAAAGTTCTGTCTTTCAGAGTGGCTGTAGCCCATAATAGTAAATGACCATTTAAAGCATTTAGATAGCAGAGAAAAGCAAATTCATTCATATCATGCTAATTTGTTGATCATCTGCTGTTAAGTTCTGGAATGTGGTCTTTTCCTATTGCTCTATCTCTGCTAAGCTAAGAATTCCAAAGAAACAAGACTCATCTTTATAGCTCAGTTTTCCCAGTTAACTGCATTTTTGAAAAATGCATTTATTAGAGAGGAAAATTGTTTCTTATTATGTAATGCTTATTTTGTCTTTTAAGAGAATTTTGAAAATAATTTTAGCATCTCTTAAAAAAAAATCCCCTTTAAACATGGACAGTTGAAAAATAGATCAAGTTGCAGTTTGGTTTAGGAGAGAGAGGAGCTGAAACCTGCCAGGATTTGGAGATTCCAGATTAAATTTGAAAAAGTGAAAGTTAGATTGTATATATTTATATTCAGAATACTAAAACAACACTAATAGTCAGTGTTACTTGTATCCAACTTCCACAGTATTGCATTATTTCCAAATATTAAAACAGATACCACTCTGCTCTTAAGGAATCTTACACTATTGATCAATACTTTTAATTATTTTAGACTTTTTATTCATTTGGGCTAAAGGTTGAATAACACTTTCATCTAGTTTACATGTAGTAAAGCTAACTATTTTTATTTTTTATAGATTACAGTTAACTTTGTTAATGAAATATAGTATTGTAAATAATTAGTTTTTGTAAAATGTACAGGAAAGCTTTTCAGGCTTTATTAAAATTGGTTTTTTTCATATACTGAGACATTAAATAGTAATAAATGTTGCAGATTTTAATGCCTTTTTGAAAATTTTTTGATCAGACTTACACAGCTGATACTTTCAGATTTTATTGGTTAACATTCAGAAAGCTAGAAATTCCAAAGTTCATTCTCTGCTTTGCACTTCTGTTTTGCAGAATGTTTGATGTTGGAGGCCAAAGATCAGAGCGGAAGAAGTGGATTCATTGTTTTGAGGGTGTTACAGCAATTATTTTTTGTGTGGCATTAAGTGATTATGATTTGGTCTTGGCTGAAGATGAGGAAATGGCAAGTACCTTAATGCTAGAGAAGGGAATAGTTGTTTGATAGAACTAAATAAGTTTGAAAAGAAAGCTATAAATACATCTTTTAGACTGTTACTGCTTTATAAGATTTACGGGTTTTGTGTAAAAGGTCTCAGAGAAATGGTGATAGAATTAATACTTTCAGGTTTCAAAGTATTTTGTCATATTCTCAGAAGGAATACTATGAGACAAGTATTCTTTTCAGCTACACTCATGCTTTAAAGGATGCGTAAACTAATGAGGCTAGATTGTCAGTAATATACATTTTAGTCTCTTTATGGATGTTAGAAGTATATAATAAGAAATTGCTTGACTTATCTGTTTCTACTTTACCACGTTTTCCTTTCCTTCCTCAGTCTTCAGGTTTTTTTTCTTTCTAAATGTGTTTCTCTGATCTCTTTCCTTAGTTGCAGAAAGTTTTTTCTTCCTTCTCCCTTCCAACTCCCTCCACTCCTTTCTCCTCTTTCATGGTGTGACTCCTTCCCGTATCAGTATGCACAGAGTGCATGCTTTTTACTGAGTGGTCTAAAAGGATGCTTATCTATTGTGTGAGACTCATTAAGAAACTTCTGTGCTTATCCTCATGTTCTGCCACTTCTTATACAGTTGGGGGAGGAAAGAGAAATTAAAAAAAACCAATCAAGTCAAATATAGTCAAAGAAGGTCATAGCTAACATCCTGCTACTTAAATGACTGGAGCTTGGCCAAAGTACTTGTTAAAAATTAGGGCAAGAGGAAAAAAACCTGCTCCCTTGATCCTCTAGTTCTATGTACCTTTTTTTTTTTTTTTTTCTTTTGCTGGAATCTTAGCTAGATGGAAAATTTAATTTTCAATTTCCAGAAGATCTAATCAGTATAAGATAAATTCAGGTAACTCAGCAACTCTTGTAGAATATCTGTACTGCAAAATGTCAAACCACCAAAAATTTCTAAAATATTAAACAGCTTAAACCTGGAAATGAGGGGGTGGGGGGGAAGTAGTTGCTTAAACCCTACTCATGAAAGTGCTCTTTGTGGTGGTCTTGGCTTCTCTGTATTTCCCTGTGGTAAAATGTGATTCTGTATGCTAGAAACTTAGTTTTGTAACTTATCTGGTTAACTTGTAGCTATATCAAAAATATGTATCCTGATTTTACTACTGAAGTCTGCTAAAATACAAGGTGTTTTTTCCAATTACAGAATCGGATGCATGAAAGCATGAAATTGTTTGACAGTATCTGCAACAATAAATGGTTCACAGACACTTCTATTATTCTCTTCCTGAACAAGAAAGATCTCTTTGAAGAAAAAATCAAAAGGAGTCCTCTCACTATTTGCTACCCTGAATATGCAGGTATTGGAGGGGGTTGCAGGTGTCAAGTAATTTTTGGTTAAATTACCTCATTTTTGATATGCAAATCATGAGGAGTTTAGGTATCTTAAAATATTTAAATGAAAGAAAGTTTAAGATGTGGGGGTGGTGTTTTTATGGATCACAAATAAAATAGTGCTAAGTCAGATTCATCTTTCTAACCAGGTGAAATAATGCTGGTCCACTGATAGCATTTACATGTTACTGCTGCAACTCCTTTAAGCCTAATTTATTCAGCCCATTCTTTTTTCTGATTTCCTCCTGGTTTTGTACTTAGATGTAATTTTTTTCACTAGCAGGAATTCCTGAGGATACATGAGAGTTTATTTGAACAGGGAGTGTACATACATGTTAGAAGTAGGTGGCTTACTCAGGAAATATATAGCAAAAGAGGATGATTTCATTTAACAAGTCTTAGCTTTTTTATGTATCATTTTAACTGTATAACTTCCTTGTACAGAAAATAGCACGTTGGAGGTAAAAAGCTTAGGAGAAATATGTATGCCAAATGTCTCTGAGTTTGGGAAAACCCCAAACTTTTGAAAACATAAAAATTGAAAGCAAGTAACTTGCATGAAGGAAACAAAATCTAGGGAACAGTGGTGGGTCATTAATGACTTACTCCATCTTTCACTTGAAGTAAATGCCAAGACTCTTCCTGCAGCTGGAATTGAATTGAGTCCTTAGCTTTTATTCTTAAAAATGTGTCCAAAAGGTTTCCTTCAAGTTTATTTATGGTATCTTAAAGCAATGGCTGTGGAATTACTCCTCTTCATGTTTAGGTTAACTATTTCCAAAGAACCACTTCCTTCAAAGATATAGTATGCATCTTGTTCTTTCTCGGTTTGAAACCTCCTTACTGAGCAATTTTCTTCTTCTAGGATCAAACACTTATGAAGAAGCAGCTGCTTACATTCAATGTCAGTTTGAAGATCTGAACAAGAGAAAAGACACGAAAGAAATCTACACTCACTTCACATGTGCCACAGACACAAAAAATGTGCAGTTTGTTTTTGATGCTGTAACTGATGTCATTATTAAAAATAACCTTAAAGACTGTGGCCTCTTCTGAGAACAGAAAAAAGGTTGTTAAATGGTAAATTACATGCTTGAAAACAGGACTTAGGCATTTGGAATATGCCTATGCTGTGTAAGACCTACATAGATATACTTAATTCTCTTTTATTTTATTTCTAGGTTTGGAGAACGACTTCGCACAATTCTAATCTGATTCTTTTCAAGGTGAAAGAAATACAAAATACATTGTGCTGAATGATAGATCAGTACTGTACTTGCCTGTTTTAACAGCTTTATTTATGTTTGTCTTGTAAATTTAAGTAATTAGTTAACACTGAGATGTCAGTTGATTGTATGTAAACTTGTAGTAATGTATTTGTATAAACGTTGAACGGAATATTTTAGTAACTCAATGTCCTCTAAAATTTCCATGTTTTATGAAGATACTCTTAGAGGAGACAGACACTTTTTGCCTTTGGATTATTTAAACATCTTGTAATATTAAATTTTCTTTTCATCTTAAGGGTGCATGCTGCCTTTTTCTTTTGTTGGTAATACTGTATATGGCATTAGCTTTTTTGATATTTAAACAGCCTCGTACACCTGCTCAGACTTAAAAGAAACATAACCAATAAAACTTGTTTTTTGCCTTAAGTTTTGAAAAACAATCTTTTTATAAATTTAAGATAAATGCAAAGATTATTTTTTAAATTTAAATGAAATCCACAGTTTATGAAATCTGGGCTTGCAGTCTTTGCAGTGCAAATGTGGCAACACTTAGAAATTGAATTTTAAGGTTCAACTATCATTGAAGCTGATGGAAATGCAAAAAGGAAGTTGTTAAAACCATTCATATCAATAAAAAAAAAGTTTGAAACTGTGGTCTTTACTCAGTGGAGTGAATGGCAAAATCACCTTCGGGGTTTTTTTATAGATCGTTAAGAAAGGCTGGACTTCAGAGTAGTATTTTTTCTGCTTACTTAAGAAGTAAAATCATGTTGTCCTTAAACTTTTTGCTATTTTCTGATAATAAAACTAGTTTGATAATTTAATAACCATAGAAATATCAGGTTCTCCCACAAGACATGGCACAGTAGCTTCACAGATTAAAGTAATTTCCTGTTGCAAATAAAAAGAATCTTCAGTATTTTGGATAGGGTGCTTTACTGACTTGCAAATGCTGATTCTTTAATTTCCTCTTTAATTATAATTAAAGTATCACAGTTTCTTTAAAAAATAAGTTAAAGAATATGATTTTCTTCTGGTTATGCTTTCATTATGTGATTTGCTACCTTAGGTACATATCATCCATTGCCTTATGGGTAGTGCCAAAACTGATTTTTTTATACACATTTTAAAATAAATAAGCTTCTATTTGTAAATAAGTTCATGGATGGTTGTCTTAAATGTACATCATCTAGAAAATACAAACATACCAAACTTGGAAATATGATTTTCTGTAATTAAAATATTTCAGGCAGCTACAGTACACCATAAGTTCTTAGAGAAGTAAATAAGTCTTTGAATCTGTTGCTTTTTTTCTATATTATCTTAGCATTTATGTTCTTTAAAAAGTTCAACCAAAATATTTAAGTCATTGTTCTGTTATTTAATTTTTGATTGTGTATGTGTTTCATTTAGGCCTCAGCTTGAGTAAAACTTATCTGTACTTCTTATTCTTTAATGCTTCCTGTGTTAGGTACAGAATTGCTAAATGTGTTTCAAATGAAAGGTTAGAAAGGAGATAACTTATTACTGGAGGTTGTTAAATATATTCATACATTATGAGCTCTTTCAGCAGTTATGGTAAGCAATCTGTATATCCTGGGCTGCTTTTAATTGTGCTTTATGGTTCTGGATACATAACTGATTTTAAATCTCATTGAACTACCTTGTGGAAATTGTATTTACACCTATGTTCAAGTTGGGTTTTGTACTTAATGTAAAACAAAAATTGGGATCAATCAAATTACATAAATAAATCTAAATTTTGTGCCTTGCTTGAAAGACATGTTTTTCATTAAATGTGCTGATGGAAATCTTTTTGCATCCATCCTATGGAGATAACTAGGTAGTAAAAATGAGAAGATACGAAGTCAAGAGTAAATTAAAAAACTTTATGCAAGAAACAGTAAAATGAAAATGAGCATAAATTTATTATTGATTAATTCCTAAATATTCATCCTTTACCATTGTTCCCAGCACCTTCAATTGGAGAATTTCAGAATTTCAAAACTGGTGGTTTTTGAAGTATTTACATAACTTTGCTTGCTACTCGAGGCAAATAAGGTTGTCTTTTCTGACTTGATGAGCGGACAGCAAGTGTGTTTCCTTATAGATGCTGTGTACTGGTTGATCAATCTTTGTCTTGAGATGAAAGTTGTCGGCCAAGGCCACTGCTCTAGAAAAAGCTACAAGAGGATTTATGTGCAATAGTGGTGGGAGCCACACAGTTTTCACTGCAGTTGTAATAAGGCTTCACTCCATCTCTGTTCTGTCAGGAGGCTGCTTCTCAGTCGGAGCACTGCAGAAAATGGAGGAAATCCTGCAGGTCCGCTACTGTCTGAGAAAGACAGTCTTGTCCCTCAGCAATCTGAGCCTCTGTTTCTTTTCCAGTTCTCCATTCATCTAATTTCTTCATGCAAAGTATCCAGGCAAATGACTTTTTCTAGCCTTACACAAGGAAGCTCCCTCTACTAGCTTAGATATTGCTTCAGATTTTTTAAAATATTCTATATTTAGTATATGTAGGGAATAATAACCTTATGGAGGCTTCTCCAGCCCCCGTGGTCTTGTGAGCATGTTGTCTGTGGTTGAAGTCTCTCAGGAAAATGCAGCCATCATTAAACATGTAGTTATTTTTAAGGGGCTTAACTGTGAGGAAGTGTGGTTTGGAAAATTAGGTATTTGGCTTCATGATGCTACCTATTGAATTTGGAGGACGTTTGATGTTAAACGTAGTAACTTCTTAGTAACTAAAAGAGGGCCCAGCATCATAGCATGGGAACAGCATACTATTTTCTGGATTGCAGTTTCTGTTTCCATGTACACAATTAGCAGCTTCATGATTTAAATTCTACATAAAACCTTAGGGAGCAAAAAAGATCTATCTGCAGCATGTTGAACAGCATGATGGCTAGTATGCATCTGGAATTGGGGAAAATGAAAGGATAAGTTTCTGTTCCAAATCAAGCAAAAAGGAAACCCTACCAAGATACTGGCTATCCTACTATGTGGATGTCTCCTGAAGTTGTTGTACTTCATATTAATAACTAAGAGGCAGTGGGTCAAAGAGTAATGCCAAGGTTGTAAACTTCAAATCCTTGACTATTTCATTTTGAAAAAAGCGTAGAAGGTGCAACAAGAGGCTGAAAGCAGTTCATCTTCAAATAATTCATAGCCTGTGAGAGAGTGCACTTGAATGAGGAAGATGAGACTGGTGAAAGACTAACTTAATTACCACTCATTAGCTATATCAGTGCTTGGAGTTTTTGCTGCCTTGACATAGAGGAAGCTAGGAGCAGAATTTCAATCAGTTATATTTCCAAGTAATTAAAATATGCTGTATGGAAAAATGGCTGAGTTAAATGCATTTATCAAGCTTTTTATCCATAGCATATTTAGGAGCAGTGCTTTTCAGTTGGTTATGGTTCCAGACAAGGTGTTTTTGATTGGTTTGCTCTGCATGTGTTTTTCTTTTTTGTGGTAGGGGGAAGGCTTTATGACTGTTGCGTGACACAGCAGCGATCAGGGTCACTGAGCAGTTTTATTTTAGTAATAATTTGCTTGAACTAAGGCATAATTCAGATTATTTTTTAAAGTGCAGTCAATGGGTTGAGATCCATATGGAATAGTGTAATCCTATACCATTTTTGGTCATGCTGCTTCCTGGATTTTAAGAAGGGTGTTTAGCCCACAGTGTAGAAATACAGTTCTATAGTAGAACTATATTTCTGTAGTGTAATGCTTCAATTCTGAAAGGAATTTCAGAGCAGCTGTTAGAGAAGAAAGATAAATATATGCAAGAATGTACTGATCAGAGTGTGCTATCTGAAATTTGACTGGCTTTAACTGCAGTGGAACAAAAGATGTTTAAGACCAAATATGTTGTCAATGGAAGTCACTGCTGCTTCACAGAACTAGCTGTTTCTGGCTAACTTCTTTATTCTCCCTCTTTTTCTGTCCTTCCACTAATAGAAAAGTTTGGGAAGAGGTGGTGTCACTGTGCTTTCCCACTCACAGGTTGTGCTATTGTGTAGACCTCTAAGGAAGAGGTACCTTGAATCCTGTGGAATATGCTGATCTTTAATTTCTTTTACAGATAAAGAACATACAGATGTCTGTATGTAATGTAAGATTATTACTATTACAGTAATGTAAGAATATGCAGACTGATGAGAGAATAAATAAGTGTACTTAAAACTGTGTGTGTTTATACTGAAATGCATGAAGAAAAGTCTGGGAAACTAGGAACTTGAGCAGGTAAAGCTTTTCAGTTATGTAGTTTATAATTCCAGAGTGATACACAGTCTGATCAGAAGTCCTTACAGTATGACACAGAGCACATCTCAAATATCTCTTACAAGTAAGTGTCCTTGCTTCTACAAAATCAGAATGCACATGGCTGAGTGGGAGACACATTTCAAATAGACACCAAGATACTTCCAGAAGGGTTTGGCCATTTGTCAGTATACAATAGCAGTTATCTAAACTAAAACAAATGAATAATCCATCAGTTTTGCACGTAAACTCAAAGATGTAATAATTTACCTCAGGAACCATAATGTCTTATTCTGAAAAAAATATGCTGAGGTATAGTCACAAATTCTCACTTTTCCTCTGTATCACTTATGAAGTGATAAAAAACCCCCATGAAATCTATTCTAAAAATTCTATGAAACTAAGTCATCCTGAGAATGTTACATAGTTTTGATGGAAAAAGTCTAATACTTATCCTGTGTGCCAGGATTTTTTTGGTAGATTAAAACAAAGATGCAGCTATTTCTGTTTTGATTCCATTCATCACAAACTTAAAATACTTTGTCTAACTTTCATTGAGAACTTTCTTATTAAAACAAAGATAATTTTCCAATGAGAATAGTATTAACTTTCACCTGATGTAAATTGCCAAAACTTATAGTTCTTTAATAACAATTATTGGTGGATATATTAAAATAAATAAAAATCAGAAGTTACCAACTGCATAATTTAGAAATAAAACTGAACAACAACAACCAGAAAAGGCATATTCAAATTATATTCAGTGACTTTATTGTACCAAACATATTTGAACATGTGTTCAGAATGTGATTTTGGTCCTGTATATTATGTCTTAAGATACCTGTAAGTCAGCAAGGATAGTTCTTCACATCCAGTTTCTAATGGCAATCTTTC